GATAATTATCGAGTTCTAACAAAATATTTAATTATTATCTTTATAAGAAAATTATATTATTAAACCAAATATAAATTATTTCGTTATTGAACCTAAATTATATTATAATAAAAAAATTGAATTAAAAATTACACAAAAACTAAGGAACTTTAAATAGTTAATTTGATACTAATATCGATATATTTTTGTCAAAATTTTATGATATCTTCAAATTTATATTTTATTAAAAATAAAAACATTATTGTTTTTCCAAAATCACATAAAATCATATTATAACATTGACTGAGATAAAAAAGAAAATAAAATATTAAAATCAAGATGTATCTCGCTGCATTACGCGAATACCTTTCTAGTAGATTTTAGAAGGGGTTAGAAGGGGTGTTTTAGTATTTCTGGGACTTATTCTGTTAGCAGAGGAGGGCCTTTAGGTCAGAATAATCCTATTATGCTATAAATCAATGTCTGGGTGTATGAGAGTTCTTTGCAATTTGGTCAATGGCTCGCTTAACCGTATTTTATATGTGTCGAATCTATTTTGTTCGTGGTAAAGACAAGATACACTTGGACCAGAAAAACCTGTGCTCAAATGTAGCCTCTCGAATGCTAGTGTGTATATATATATAGGAGGTTTATTTTGCAAACCACGTTATTTGTACAAACCGTATATACCTCATTCAACCAATCATAATTTTTCATTTTGTTCATTTATTTGTAATTATGAAAGGTTGATTAATCTTTTTTATTATGAATGGTGTTAATCATGGATATTATCATTTTCATCATTTTAATTTCATAACCATATATGAAACAACTTCATCAAAAAGAAGTATTATATGAAACAATTTCATGAAAAAAATTAATAAGATTAAACAATGAAATCGACGGATGAGGGTGGTTTGCATGTTTTGTATAAATTGGGTGGTTTGTATTTGATCACTCCTCCATATATGTATATATGTATGTGTGTGTATGTATGTGTGAAAGTGAATATATGCAGGAATTTGACTGGTGAGGGGATGGGAGAGAGTTCTTTTTACACACACATATATACACATATATATATATGTGTGTGTATATATGTATGTATATATATATATATATATATGTGTGTGTATGTATGTATATGTGTAATATTAAATACGATGTAATATGTTCATTTAATTTTCTTTATGGGTAAAGACAAAATAGAAAAAAGACAGAGAATTTGTAAAAGAACAAAATACCTCGCACTTAACAAACATTTCTCAACAAAGTTTGTAGGAATTACGGTTTTAAAAGCAAATGAAAAACCACGGTAACCATTTCTGTACTTGTCGAAGCAAATGGATTTATGTTCGTAGTTTTGTGTAAACCCATAGTTTTAGGTAATCTTACGTTACCAACTAGTTCTTTATCAAAAACAATTAACTTATCAGCTAACAGCTAGCTTATCATCTAACCAGTTTATCCAACACGACATATGTGGCACAAGGAGTTCAGTTCAAAGAGCAGCACACTTTGAAGTTGAGCAAAGGGACTGTATTTTATTAAAGAGAGCATTTACAGTAATCAGTTTTAAGAAATCATTACACAGCAATGACATAATTACACTGAATGAGATACACAAGTAGCAGCAGCAGCAGCAAGTATAACCATTAACAATGGAAGGTCTCTTGCAGTTGAGCAGCAAGGTCCTTTGGTTAGTTCCATTTTCTTGTTTCTCAACATTCATCAGGATTCAAATATTATCGATTGCATAAAGGGATATAAAACGTTACAATTAACGGAATGAAGTTATTATGCAGATGCAGCACGATCTCTTTCTATCATTGATTTGATGTAAAACTCACCTGCTTTGTACGAGGACCTCACCATGGGGCCAGATGCCACATACCGAAATCCCTGCCACAAACACAAGGGAACCAAAAGCTCATTTATAACATATAATGCACCCAGGTAAAGAATCAAGGACATGATAATATAACCTTGAGGGCTAGCTCAACTTACAGATACAGGTTACCATCGGTCACCTGTTCGACTTTCCTACAAACCATTCGGGATTTTTCGGGCTATTATCTTTAGGGGCCATGGGATTAGTCGAGATGCTCACACACCCATGGTTACAAAAAAGAAAAAGTACATGATAATATATGGTCGTTTTTACACAACTGAAAAAGGTGTGGTAGTTCTGATTTCTGAGGGACCCCAATTTATTTCAAAAGATTTTTTAAGGTATCCCACAAGATTAATGATGTTTATGAGTGGGTCCTGCTTCCGTATTTCAACAGCACTCATGTGGAATACCATCACCTTGAAAGCAGTGCCAATATCAATTACCTTCTTAAAAAAGTATATGTACCATATTCTCTACCAAATATGTGTGGTCCCAAAAGCTGGACTGATATATTGCATTCATGAAAAGATCCAAAGTGCTACAGGTCATAAGAACCCCATCTACTTTGAGATATGATTCAATGGAAAGAAAAGCAAAAGGGCTGAAATCAGTGACTACTAGCTTGTTAAATCAGGAACTAAAGCTCAGCAGCAAGAGCTATGATTCATGAAATGGGTTCTCCGTTGGTCACTGCCATCAAGTCGAAGAAAATGCATGAAACGAATAAATACAACTAAACTTTCAGTTGACTAATGTGTTCAAAGTAGAATTGTGAGGTTATAGGTATTGAGGTCATGGGTTTTTCTAGACCGGTAGTCATTGATTGCATAAAATATTTTGATTATTTACTGACCTCATTATGATGGTTCTTAGATTATAGTCAGGTAGTGAATGTTGGTTCCCCCATGTGCATGGAGGGGTAAAATGGCTTGGCTCATCATATAGCAAAGGTTGCTAGACAGGTGGGGGTTACAAATGCATTAGCGTTTATGACTTTTTCTTTTTATGATGGCTGTTGGCTTTTCTGAAGTATATTTGTTTGTTCCTGGTTTTCAGGTTAGATAAAATGAACTTTATAGGCTGTGGTTGTCCCATTCTTTCTAAAAAGAAGACGACAAGATATAAGCAATTGATATTCCTGCCTAAAATAACCAAGAATGGGCCACTCTAATTACCAAATTGGTGAACTGCAACAACACTGGTAAATTTTGTAATTAGGATTTCATGTTTTTTACCCTTGCTGCAGTAACTAATTTATTTGAACAGTAAATTTTAATTTGTAAACTTAAGATCGAACTAGTTAAAATTTTGATAATAGTGGTTGTAATTTTAACAACAGATAACATAGATGGGTTGGAACATACCATCTCCATGCCCAGTAAACGATATTTCTCAAAAGCTTCTGGTGTTATGTACTCAGAAACTGGCATGTGACGCTTTGAAGGTCGCATGTACTGGCCAAATGTCATAACATCAACACCAGCTGCCCTCACCTTCTCCATTGTATTCACTACTTGATCTGGTGTTTCCCCACAACCCAACATTACTGAGGTCTTTGTAAGTGTGCCAGCTGGAGCATAGTCTTTTGCCCTCATTAAAACATCCAAGGATTGCTTAAAGTTGGCACGATGATCTCGTACTGAACTCTGAAGCTCTTCAACTGTTTCTATGTTATGAGCAAATACATCCAATCCAGACTTTGCAACTTTCTCCACACACGTGACATCCCCTCGAAAATCAGGAACTGTATAATTCATATGAACAAACAAAAAGCACATCAAAATGTAACCAGAAAAGGTCATGCACCCTTTCCCACTAGAACAATATCCAAGGTCTGAAATTGTGCTCAGCTAACGATGTATGCAACACACAAGCACACGAGAGGTGGGTAACTACATATAAGCAAGGAGGCATGGCTAAAGGTTTGACCTCTTTATGACATCCTGTAAAATCACAATCCAACTATTAACATCTTAGCTCGAAAAAGAATGAGGACAGCCCACTAAACAGTTTATTGTACACATAAAATCTATATACAGGTTTTTTCAATACATTAACCATACACTCAGTCCACATAATCAGACGTTCCTCAAATAATAATGAATTAAATGAAATAAAGAAACCTGAAACTTGTTGAGCCACTACAAATCAGCCATACAAGACAAGATCTTCTCTGCAAGCGAAAAGGACTTAAAAACACTCTGCATTGACCTCATTTTTGGAGTCTGTAAGCACCTTATGCATGCTTGGGCTATATACTTGATATTTCTATGATGTACAAGAAAAGTATTGCTTATTCTGAGAAGTTACTATTTTTCAGGCCTCTTTTCAAAATACCTAAGATGCCAACAGCAGTTTTTAAACCATAGAAACCAATATTCGGAATTCTTAAGATACCAACGACCTCTTTAACACATATTTAGCAATGGCCTTAAAAACTAAGAGAAGAAAAAATAAAATAAAAGCCACCAATAATTTTTTCAATGCACACAAAAAAACTGCCTATTTTCCTGAAAAAGTTACTATCTTTCAGGACCCGGTTTTCAAAGAACCTATGTGCCAGAAACAGTGTTTCATCCATAGAAACCAATGTTCGGAATTAGATATAGATAACCCTCTTTTACTGCATACTTAGAAACAACCTTAAAAACTAAGAGGGTGAAAAAATAAAATCAAACCGACCGGCATATCTGAGAACTGAGTTACAGAAATGACTCATCTAACTAAATGAAATATTTGAGACATGGAGCAAGTCATACCCAAGGCTTCTATCAGCATACTAGGTTTCAGTATCTTCAATTTCTGCACTGTTTCAGCAAAATGACCACTCCCTTGATCAGATAAATCATCACGATCAACACTAGTAATTACCACATAATCCAAACCCCACGAAGCAATTGCCTCGGCAACATTGGAAGGTTCATTTGGATCAGGAGGAGGTGGAGTGCGGGAAGTCTTCACATTGCAGAATCTGAAATAACAACAAACTACTATTATGATCCACATTTTATGATACACGGTTCACACCCATTAAGAAATGCAATTCGCAGGATTGGTAAGTAAATTCTGAGAAATCTAGAGGTCTAAAAAACTAATGAAGAGATTTGACTCGCACTGCTTCTAGAGTTCTTTCTTTACAAGTGGAACAGCAGTAGAGCACCAACCATGTAAGCTGTCTTAGAAGCACGTTTAATGTTCATCTACCACACAAGCATCATCCCCACCCCAGAAACAGTAATTCATCGATCCACAGAATAAAAGTTAATTGCTTACTCTCATTATACACTCTCTTTCCCTGGCAAGACAAAAAGCAGAGTACAAAACTGCCCTGTCAGTTCAGCAAATACGATTAGTCTTTTGTACCACGTCATCAAGCAAACATAATACAACAGGGTAAGCAATATTCTCTCCCTTAGAAGGCAAAACCACTAGGAAGCTAGACAACCCAGTTTATGATGGTAAGGTTCACTTCCTCCACCCTCTCAGAAAAGTGAATCCATGTATTTGAGGGTGTATGGTTGTCCATGGTTGCTCTATTATTGTTAGCCATTATCATCAAAATAATTGGTGAACATGTAGGAAATGAGGGTTGCTGGAGGAAGTTAGTGTCATAGGTGACTTATGGGCTTATGGCAACAGGATAACTACAATGTCTCTGAAATTTGCTTGGAAAAAGACCTAACTACGAAGCAAATGTACTTGGGATAAAGTGTCGTACCTGCATCAGGTACCTATTGGATGTGGATGCAGCTTGGTGTGACACAATACACAGGGTGCATGCCCTTTTACTACAGTTAGAACACTTGGGGTGCAGCTCCACTGTAGTTCCAATGTGTGCAACTTGACTTGTTTTTTGGAGAATTTGGATCATTATATGTTGTTTTTAATTCTTATATCAAGGTTTCTATAAGTATTCCCAGGTCCAAAAGACATCACCCTTCAAATAGGCACGAAAACAAATATTAACTGAAGACATCAAAATCCATATTTGATCAGAAAACAAATCCAAATTCATAATTCAACACCGGAAGATATTGTCCGAATCTGGATACTGGAATATGATTATGCCAGATTTACCGTATATGAATTGGTATTAGTTGACTAAACCAAAGTACATCTCTAGGGAGGGTATGATGTACGCAGCCTTTCCTCTACCCCAGGAAGAAGAGAGGTTGTTTCGGATATAAGGCTAGCGAATAATTTTAAGTGGACCTTAGGGATCCCGAAAGTACGTCTAAAAATTGCAAATAAATAAGTTTTGATGAGTTGATGAAAAGCTTGAGAGTTGAAACTGACTCAGGAAAGGGAGAAAGCATTGGAAAAGTAGAGCAAGTATGGACTGTAAACAACATGAAACAAGATTGAAACAAGTATAAATATTAAAAGCAAAACGAGAAGTACAAAACAATAAAACAACCTAACTTATAAGTGAGGCAAAAGAATCCTTTCGACTAAACTCGCACAAAAGCTACTCTTAACTATCCCCAAAGGGTCCCCCTACCTATCATAGAACTCCGATACCTAGTTGTCAGGCTCTCTAGCCCCCCCCTAAAAAAACACTCCCTACCACTCCCACCCTATGCTGTTAGAAGATGGTAAAGAGGTGGTACAGCGGTCCAAGAATCGTCATTCATATAATAACTAGAATTAGATATATGTGTGTATGTGTGTATTTTGGCAGTCAAAAGTCCATCTAGTAGTTATTGAAATTGCATATTAATATGTATGTTTTGACAGCTAAATACGAGCTCCTAACAATTAAAAGAAATAATTGAAGTCTCAAATATACTTATAAAGTCGACCAAACTAACTTCAGCTTCAACAATGACATCATTTCAAAACATTGTTGAGCAACTTCAGAACTCAGAAGTAATGAATTTCAGAAATCTTAACCTAAACCTAAAAGAGCTCGACGCTTGGCAAAAGAAAAGCTCCACACTTTGAGCCCAACTAACATAAAATATCAAGCATAAGAAAAAACACGAATTTAGCACCGCCATTGCAACTGAAAATTGTGGTCAAAATGTAGTAAAAAGCGCTGCGGCACTATGATTTCACACCGCTATTTAGCACTGTTATTCTCCCAAGGACCGCGAACTGCTATACCACCGGTATTGCACCGCTATAGCGGCACAATTAACAGCATAGCTCCCACCGCCCTCCCTCGACCACAGTGACCACATATCCTTACACAAAATCTGCAACCCTGGTCTAGTGTCTCCTCTCTCCACAGTAACTACTAACTAGTATTAGTTGACTATCTTTACATAATATAGGATGTATTATCTTCAAGTATTTGAAAATCAAAATATAACTAATTGAATAGTTAATCAAATCAAGCATAACCATATTCAAATTTGCATCTTCAAGCTCCAACTTGTTGGATGTAGATGTTTTGCTTATTACAGAATTTGAAATATTTGGCAACCAAGAGTAACAAATATTAAATTTGTAGGCAACTAAAGTTAGACGAATACAAACTCAAGCTCAAATATATCGGATGTGGATGTTTACTTATCTCCGAATTTAAAATCGCTTGGTAATCAAATTAATTTCAAATACTTGGATACCTTATATGTAGGTTATATAAACATGAAATATTTACACTTTCATGGATAAGGACTGCAAGATTCAAGGCAAATAGCAGGTTCATCATGATTTTATGTAGCTTTAACCTAGTTATTGTTAAGATTATTATCTCAATTATGGTTTGATTATTGTTAGAATGGTTACTAATTTCTATTAACCATTAGAATAAGTTTCTTCAATATTTACTTATCATTATTTTTAACATTTATCTTTATCATTTAGAACAGATGGTTGTTTTATTCATAGGATAAAGTGACAAACACTTACATTTATTGTTCGTATTATATGTGGATTGTAATTTCCAAATCAGTCATCAGAAGATTGAACAAAAAATCTATACGATATATTATCTTTGATTGTGTGAAACAATCCTTGTAGGTATGATGCCTTTGGTTAGACTTAGAGATTCTAGTGTAACAGAGTATGAAGCCTTAACAACCTAGTTCCCTTATTGTTTTCTTAGTCCTTTCTCTTCTCCCAAATCCGTCCTCCATCAGTTTTATATTAGAGCTGGAAAAACCTTAAATCCACCATAACAATCAGTTCAAACCTTCAAATCCTAGATCAAATCAGTACCTAAACCAAGGTTGCATCAGATCTCAAGTAGCTTATCTCTGCTTCTGAACGTTTTCTTTTTTCGTTCATTTGCAAATTTGACATATTTGAGTGATTTTCAAAAGTTCCCAATATTCAGGGAGCTTTCTGCAAAGTTTCTGAAGTTCAGTGGGTCTCTACATTTTTCTGGAAATCTAGAGACTTCTGTGAACTCATCCCGAAAATTCCCTTCAATTTCACAGAAATCCAGGGATCTCTGCTGAATGCACGTCAAGGTTTATGTAATTTGCAAAAATTTCAGACTTTTCTGTACTTCTCAGACACTACACACTTCATTAAAAATTCAAGAACTTCTATGAGTTTGCCATAACTTTCAAAGGGGATCAGCAATTCAAAAGAAAAAGAAAAGATATGATGGTGGATATCTTTTTATGACTACTTCAGGAAGGTAACCCAAGGCTTTCCTCCAAATGTCATTATTATGCTTGGTGTAAGATAAGGTCTTGTAAGTTGGTTATTGATACTAAAGTGGGATAGATATCGTGTCTAAAATTACTAGAGGAATGATTGAAGCTGAAACTTCAGCAGCATCCTTATATACAATTCATGGCTAAATAAGACACCGATAACAATTACATAGCAATGTGTAGTCCCAATTTCATTTGTTGACATTATGACTCAACTCTTATGATAGTGTGCCAACGGATCTAGAACAGAAGTTACTTGGAAGATCCTCGATGTATTGGTTTCAATGTAAGCATAACAAGACTGCTTAAGCCGAACATTGGCTTTAAGAATGAGTGATTGCCTTTCCCCAACCTTTCCTACACAACCAGACAGCTAATGCCTTCCATGTATCAAGCAAGGTTCCATAATTGGTACATGATTCCCAGATGCGGACTTGCGGTAATCTCGTAGTTTCTAAAAAGTGAAGATCATGGGGTTGGTCCTGCTTTACTTGTCGTCCAAATATCTCGGATCTGAATGTTCCTTTTTATCTATCTCTCCAGTCTTCTCTTTATTTTCTAATTTATAAGCACTTGTCTTGTCTGTTTGCTTCTCTTGTATGCCTCCTTTGTTGCTTGTTTCATGTTTTCTCTAAACATTTCTAGGCTCGTCATACCAGCAGAGTTCGACCAACAAGTACTTCAATGGATTATTTTCGCATGGGTAAAAACTTTGACAACATTTTTTTCTATTCTATTTAACATGTATCTATGTACATATGTGTGCCACAGTGATGTTATAGTACTTTTTAACAATACCGAATCCACAAAGCCCACAATTTTGTTATAGTGGTTAACCTTATTTTCCCATCTGGTATTGCGCCTTACATTTCAATTGTCATCACTAGCTTAAATTGAACTGCTTTAGTTTCTAATGCCCATTATTGTTTAACTCTCCATTAGCTGGGTCAATTCTACAGTTACTGTTGCTTCTCCCAGATGTCATGATTTTACATAGGTTATAATACAGGGTCAATTTTTGGCTGCCACTGAAGGTAAAATTTTATATGGCATCAATATGTCTCTTTGATGATATAAAACAATCAAACTAACAAATCCAACTACAACCATTAATGAAATCTGCACAAAAGACAATCACTTACCTGCAACCTCTAGTACAAGTATCACCAAGAATCATAATAGTAGCGGTGGCGGTGCCAGTTTCACCACCGGACCAACACTCCCCTAAATTAGGGCATTTGGCTTCTTCACAAACCGTATGAAGCTTCAATTCCCTAAGCTTCTTTTTAATATGCGTGTACTTTTCCCCACCGGGGATGGATTCCTTCATCCATTTAGGCTTGGGTAAGGGCTTCTTCTTCGTACCAACCTCAACAGAATACTCTTCATCGGATTGGAGGCGGATGAAGTCGGTTAAGGTGGGTGAATCGGCAGCGAGACGGTGGCGTAGCTCGGTTAGGGTTTGCGGTTGTTGGAACTGAGAAGAGAAGGTTCGAACTGAAACAGAGGAGAGGAGATTTGAGTTGATTAGGGTTCGAGACACAGATTTGAATCGAGAATGCATTTTGTTTTCGTGGTCTCAGAACTGATTTTCAGTTGAGGCTACGATAAATTGGCGAATGGCGAATGGCGAATGGCGAATGGCGATCCTTTTGTTGCCTGATGAGATGACTCATCGTGTCACGTGCCTTGCACGGGAGTAGGTAAGCTTGGTTATTTTGACCATACATGCATATCCTTTCTCCACACACTTACATCAAAGTAACAATTAATTTTGTTTAAATAATAACATTAATCTATATCTATATCTATACTATATTATAAAGCATTTGATAAAAACTCTTAAAAATCATTTTTTATGCGTAAAATACTGTTTATTAATGCATATTACTTAAAACTCAAGATTGCAAGTAGATTGTACATAAGTACAACTTATTAAAGCTTCATATTTGAATTCGTGTAACTAACTGTAGATAAACATACTCAAATACAGGATAAACATCTCATTTTAAATATAAAAAATCTAAAATATAATTAGGATAATCATTGAGTTCTAACAAAATACTTAATTATTATATATACTATATTATAAAGCATTTGACTAAAACTCTTAAAAACTCTTAAACTCTTAAAACTCTTAAACTCTTAAAAACTCTTAAACCCGTTCATCCCTATCTGATTTTATCCCATATCTGAATTCGTGTAACTAACTGCAAATAAACACAATCAAATACAGGATAAACATCTCATTTTAAATATAAAAAATCTAA